GTTTAGGTCAGGGCCCCTCCCCCAGAGTGCAGCAGCTGCTTCCTTTGTCTTTTCAAGTGCAGTGAATACAATGGGCAGAGGGAGAGAGAGAGAGAGTGGTGTCTTGCGGTGTCTGCCCCTTCTTTTTATAGTCCTGTCTCCTCTTTGAGAAGCATTTCCAGCTGGGAGCAAGGCAACAGGCAGTCTGTGTGGAAGGGAACGCCATGCTGTTTTTTTGCTAAGATGTGGATTTTTTTGCCCCTGCCCCCTGTCCTGCCAAAGAATGGCCATTTAGCAGGTAATGGTCTATCAGCCTTGTTTACACCTGGCTGAGACGTCAGCTTGCCCTTTGTCTCTTAGGAACTGGTTTGGCTACTCCCCAGACTTGTCTGGAAAATCTATTTTTAGTCATTATCTCAGCTTATGTTTATAACTTCTCATATAACGCTACTACATGCACTTTGCCCTGATATTACTGATCAGCAAATTATGAGATTTTAAATGATACCTCACAAGGCATATCCTGTACAAACATTATTACAATAGTGTGTACAGTGTGAACACGGGTATATTCTGTCACACTGTGTCGAAGGCATTTCGCTGATATAAATATTAAAGAGTGATAGTGCCAAGACGTATCCTTTAGGGAGGCATTTCTCAAACTGGGGTCCCAGGGAGTCCGTGGGCCACGCTGATCAACCCCTCCCCCTCCCTCAACTCCTCCCCCCTCCTCCCAGCACCTCCTGCATGGAAAAGTCCAGAGGTGCAGTTGGGCTAAGGCAGGCTTCCTACCTGCCCTGGCCCCGCACCACTCCCAGAAGTGTCCAGCATGTCCCTGGGAGGGGTATGGGGGTCTCCGTGCACTGCCCAGGCCCCAAGCACTGACTCCACAGCTCCCATTGGCCAGGAACTGCAGCCAATGGGAGCTTCAGGGGCAGTACCTGTGGGCAGGGGCAGCGTGCGGATACCCCCCGACCCTCCTGCCTAGGAACCGCTGCCAGAGGGATGTGCAGGTCACTTTCGGGGGCTGCCCAAGGTAAGTGGCGGGCCAGAGCCGACATCCCTCCCATGCCCCAGCCCAGAGCCCACACCCAAACTCCCTCCCAGAGCCCATATCCCCTCCCACATCCAACCTCCCTCCAAGAGCCTGCACCCCCTCCTGCACCCAAACTCCAGCCCGGAGCCCGCACCCCGCTCCCCCTTCTGCCCCAAAACTCCCTGCCTGACCCAGCCTGGTAAAAGTTAGTGGGGATGGGGGAGAGCCAGCGACGGAGGGGATATGGAGTGAGCAGGGGCGGGGTCTCGGAGAAGGGGCGAGGCAGAGGCAGGGCCTCGGTGAAGGGGGTAGGGCAAGGGCTGAGGTGGCTTAAGCTTCCCCGGCATTGAAGCACGATCCTAGCGCTGAATTGTCTGCCCTGAATATGATATTGGACTATGAACTAAATTCTAAAAGAACTCTTTGCAACTACAAAGCTCACCATCTCTATGTTTCTGAACCTCAAGAATTGAACTCATGTCTGTATATATATTGATCTTTTAACAATCTCTCTTTTCTTTTTTAATAAATTTTAGTTTAGTTAATATAAAATTGGCTATAAGCGTGTATTTGGGTAAGATCTGGAATATTCAATAACCTGGGAGGTAATGTGTCTGATCCTTTGGGATTGCTAGAACCTTTTCTTTTATATGATGAAATGAGATTTTCAGAAATCTTCATCATATTTGACTTAGGTACTTGGATGGAAGCCTGAGGCTGGGTTACTTTAAGGGAACTGTGTTGTTTGGACTTCAGAATAACCAGTGAGGTAATAAAGAAGCTCTTTTGTGCTGTCTTGGTAAATATAAAATATTAAAATATCCACAAGCTTTGGGGATTGACTGCCCCATTTGTTGCAGTTCACCCTAATTGGGTAACCACAGCTGGCTTCCACTGGGACACTGGTCACAATGTTATTAATGTTGGCAAAAATGTATAAGGAAAAGCTTTTCTGTGTAACTTTGGCTGTGTGCTATACCCTATACCAAGGGTGGGCAAACTTTTTGGCCGAGGGCCACATCGGGGTTGCGCAACTGTATGGAGGGCCGGGTAGGGAAGGCTGTGCCTCCCCAAACAGCCTGGCCCCCGCCCCCTATCTGCCCCCTCCCACTTCCCACCCTGACTGCCCCCCTCAAAACCCCCAACCCATCCAACCCCCCCTGTTCCTTGTCCCCTAACCACCCCCTATCCACACGCCCGCCCCCTGACAGCCCCCCCGGGACTCCCACCCCCTATCCAACCGCCCTCTGCTCCTCGTCCCCAACCACCCCCTCCCCGAACCCCCTGTCCCTAATTGCCCCCTGGGATCCCACCCCCTTATCCAACCTCCCCTTCTCCCTGTCCCCTCACTGCCCTCCCGACCCCTATCCACATCTCTGCCCCCTGACAGGCCCCCCAGGACTCCCACTCCCAATCCTCCCTGTTCCCCATCCCCTGACCGCCCCCCCCCAAAACCTTCACCTCATCCAACTGCCCCCTCCTCCCTGGCTGCACCCCAGGATCCCCTGCTCCCTTACTCAACCCCCCCGCTCCCCGCCCCCTTACCAGCAGCAGGAGCTCGCAGCCGCGACACCCGGTCAGAGCCAGCTGCGCTCCCCACGCTGCCCAGCGGGAGTGGCGGGCCAGAGTGTGGCCCACGTGGCAGCATGGCTGCTGGGGAGGGGCCAGGGACTAGGCTCCCCGGCCGGGAGCTCAGGGGCCGCGGAGGACGGTCCCGTGGGCCAGATATGGCCCACGGGCCGTAGTTTGCCCATGTCTGCCCTATACCCATCCCCTATGTTTGAGTCTGGTCAACTCAGCTTAGCTTTGCTGTACACCAAATAAAGGAACCTAGGTGATGAAACTAGAGTCAAACTGAGTTCTTGGGGCACTGAGTGGAAGAGGTCTCAGAGGAACCTCAGCACCAACTACCTGACTTCACCATGCTACGTAAGATATGGATCACAGCCAACCACATCAGAACCTCACTTGGTATTGAAGCTACCTACTAAACAGATGGAAAGTGAAGGACAGCCTGATATGTGAATATGGAGAAGGCATCCAAACCATGGAACGTCTAGTGAACCACTGCCCTCTAAGATCATTCTCCGGGGGCACAGCCTTGATTCATTCCATGTCGTTGGAAGCCATAGAGTGGATGACAGTCCTGGACATCCACCTTTAATGTTGCTTTGCAGGTTGCCATATGTGATGGGGCACTCACCTGTGGTCAATGCCTCCTGCCAGCTAGGTGTAATCCTGCACTTTTTCTCTGCTCCTGGCACCCCGTCAGCTGCTGACCTCACTAGACAGGACTTCAGTGGCTCAGCCCTCCAGCCAAGCCACACATGATGCACGAATGAAACCCTTCTGGGGTAACAAAGGTCCAACAAGGATTATTGCTGTGCCTTTGTTAGTGTTTACAGCCCTGTCTCTGGTTTCAGTTGTGAGCCCCTTCTGGGCTAACTTTAAGTCCTTCCTTGGCCTGTTATAGAGCAGCGTCCCTAGGACTTTTCCCCTGGAGACTCTTTGTCTTCACCAGTTCCATTGCCCCACCTCTTCAGCCAGGTCATCACTCAAGTTCAGTCCCCTTGCAGACGGGGAACCAAGAGTTTATAAGACAGTCTGTCTGGCCATACCAGGGTCTTCAGCCCCATTCCAGCCCTTTGCTTTTGGCTTCTAATCATGCCTTATCCTCTTCTTGGGGCTTAGGACAGTGGTTGGTACGGGGACCTGGGCCCACCCACTACTCCGGGTCCCAGCCAGATACGCTATGGACAGCAATCTCACACTGCTCCCTTTAACTCCTTCAGTTAGCTGCTACTGTTTTTCTTGGGCATTTTCCCACTAGATCTCTTTCCTTTCACCCATTACCTTCGGGTTACAGTTCTCACGTCTACTCTCTCCTTGCAGAAAGCAAAATGCAGCCAGAACTCAACATCTGGTTATCTCTCAGACCTGTAGCCAAAGCAGAGCACCCTTCTTTGCTGCTCAGGTCACAGCCAGGAACTGACCTGCTAAGCCCCTGCAGCTCCTTTTAACTAACCCACCTGGCCTCTGATTGGCTGCGTCTTATGAGGCCTCTCTAGGAAGGCCTGGAGGACCCATGTTTGCTGTTTTTTTCTCCATGGGCTGGGTGTAGCAGGGCCATGGGTCTCAACAGGAGGCCTTGAAGAGACCGGTACACCTGTTACACCATACAGTATAAGAAAGATTCCCCCAGGCTCCCAAATCAAAAGGTTTGTTTCCATCTAAAACCACTAAAGGACCCAAAATATATCAGTTAAACTTCATTCCTATATAAAATTGCTAGAAGGTCCTAGCAATACCAGTGTTCAGAACTATAATATAAGCAATTTAAAAAAAATAGCAGTATTCAACACACTATTAAACCTAACTCCAAATAAAAAACAAACCCCTACACTGATGCCAGTTTGGGAAAACAAATATTAATGGGGGGGGGGGGGGGGGGTATTGATCGGTTTGGAATGTTGAGAGTAGTTCTGGTCAAGATTCACGCAGGATATGGGAATGCCAAAGGGACAAAATAAATTCCCTCGCTGCTGTAAGTTATTTCTTGGTTATAAATGTCCACATATCAATGTATGAGAGAATTGTAAGTAGCTGGTTACTTGAAAACACCTATAAAAACGGGATTACTTCTAGCCGAATGCTATTAAAGTTCATTGTTCTGGCATATCACTTTGTATCATTGATGTAACTTGTTAGGATTCTAAGAATTTTTTTCTCCTTGTTTTACACTGTTGATTTGATACTCTTTACATTTCGCAGAAAAATTCATTTTGCATTTTAATTACAAAGGGGGAGAGAGAGAAACTTGTGGTTTCCACAACAGCTGTTACCAAAATTGCTGTTTCCTTTTTTTTGGGGGGGGGGGGGGGGGGGGGGATGGGAGGGAGGAAGGGGAGGATTTGTAGTCTCTATTTTGTACTTTTCTGAATACTAGTGCATTTTTACCCTATTGTATATTGTTCCTTCCATATAGGAGCTGTTTACCTGGAGGGAAGCCTAGAGGAAGCCAAACACTTATTTGGACGTTTGCTCTTTAATGACATGGTATTTGTTTTCCTGTTGGCTGAGTTACTTTAAAAAAAACCATTTTATTCATTTACATGTTAATTTTGTCAGTTTAATTAAAACCACCATTTTTTTTTATATTTGGTGGTTGGGGTAGGATATACTACATCTGTTTTTTTTAGTTCAAAGGTAATGAAAACAGCATTTTATAATACTGAGCTGTACTGGTCCTGTTGGAAACAGAGTAACATTAATTTGATTCTGTTTGCTCATTGGCTTACATGAAGAAGAGCAAATAGTGCATGAATCTTGTAGAACACAATTTCAGCAGTTATTACAAATGGTAGAAGTCTGTGTTATGGATTTAAAGGTTCTAACTTAGCTGCTGATCTTTGTGGGGGTCAGTATAGTTCTAAATGATAGAATTTCGGGGGAGGGGGGTTAATTAGGAAATTACATTTTAAAAACTATATTAAAAGTACATTGTTTGAAATTCAGAGGGAGCCCTTAATTCTGGCATTTCCTAACTTTTGAGTGCTTGACCTTGCAACTTTAACATTCTTTTAATCTAGGGTTTGTTTGTTTTTATGTAAAGAGTAAATAAAATAGGGAATATATGATTATGTAAAATAAAGATTTTAACAGCATAAGTACGAGATGGTCTTTTTATCCATGAGTGGTGCAGACCTCATGCAACTCATAGGAAATGAATTCTGATAAAACTTTTAAACCACATCGTACCATCATGTATTCAGTATATGCCATGTATGTAACACAAACATTGTTTTAGAGGCATTAAAATGTATTGAGACTATTTTTTGTAGCCCTCCAGGTGTTAAAGCTAGGTGTTTCAATCACCATCAGTCCAACTACACAGTTAAAGTCTGTTCCAAATTGGCTATGTAGAAGGCCAGTGAGGATTGATATTTGCTGATTTTTTTTCCCACTTATATGTTTTTAAGATGTTTTATTCAGCACCATGGATGTGTGCACATCACTAGCCTATGTAACCACACATTCTCATTACCCCCTACCCTCTTCCTCCTGCTCATTGTTTGGCGCACAGACTTGTGCCTTTTGTACAACTGGCTTGTAAGCCTTTTGGAGTAGGGACTGGGCATCTTACACATTGAAAAAGTACTTAGTATTTGGATGACAGGGCATTTAGGGTGCTAGTGCATATAAATTATAGTTATACTACTGAAGAGACCACTAACACAATGGCTAGGGAATTAATTAAATGATATTTTTCTTCTTTAAAGTCTCAGAGTCTGTGGAACAACAAATAATGTTTATGAGACAAGTATTTTGTGGCATATTGTATCTCAGTATTTATATGCTTCTGAGTGTTGTAATGAATGAAGCCTACATGACCTACAGTTTTAGTCTTGGCTTTTGGTCAATTTTAAACTTGCTGCGGAGCAGGTGGTGGGAAATAAAGTTCAATCATTAGCTTCAACAAATATTTTTTTCTTTTGTTTTTTAAACTGTTTTTATTTGGTTCAAGGATTTTCTGCCTCTGCGACACGAGCTCATTGGGAGAACTACCGACAGTTTGAGTAGTGAATACCCTATTTTAAAAATGAGATTGCTGGCACTATTGAATTTGCAATAAGCAGTGTCAGCATCTGAAACAGTTCAGTATTTCAAGTAATGCCATCTTATTTAGTCCTGTGGAATTTGTTAAATGACTCCCTTGAGCACTAAAGGCATCTCTCAATGTTTGCAGGACCTTCAGGAAGTATGGCTTAATTACCCACTACACCCACTCCAAGTAAGTGTGCCCTTGTCTATCATAAATTTCATAGCTCTTTTATTTCTAAGGATGCTTTTCAGTGGCGTTCAGCTGTGGTGATATCTTGAAATATTTACTATCAATATTAGTATAGTAGCCATATTTGCTTTTGTGAATTTTTGTAAATAACAAGCTTCCTGCCTCATGGCTTGTGTTTAATATATGTGTGGATTTGTAGTGTAACTTTAGCAACCTCGTGGCCAAGATGGAGTCTGCTCTGCAGGCAGCTCTGGCCAAGAGAAGGCGCACACAGGAACACAGCAGGGAAAGTTCCTTCCACCCCAGGAACACCTGTTCCAAACCCCCAGAGTGAACACACACACACACACACACACACACACCGGAAAAGTACAGTGGATATAAGAAAGGGAAATATTTATTTACGGAGGGATGAGAGGAGAAAAACAACAAGGGGAAATATAGGGGGAGCGGTAAAACAGGGTTGCATTCAAACCAAGGCCCCACAGGCCCAGTGGTAGCACAGTCTGAAGGGCAGACACTGAGCAACATGTCTGCACACAGAGTTCAGGAGGCCTGAGCAAAGTTCCAGTCTCGTGGTGAGTCTTTGGCGGCAGTGAACTTTCCCCAACAGACCCCTCTGGTGCCCTCTTCTGCCACTCTCTGCAAAGCCACACAGAGCGACCACCTCCCCACTTAACTAGCTAGCAGCCTCCCTCCTTATTCCCAGTGCAGAGTCACAAGCCCCAGTACTCACAGCCCCATGCAGCTCGGGGCAGCAGTGATACTGGATCCAGCTCCGGCCTGTCCTTCTTGGGCGATTCCTCCCTGGCACAATGCTCCTGTCCTGGGGTGTCCCCGATCGGCCACCCTGTCCTTCCCAGGCTTCAGGCAGGTTCTCTGCTGCTTCACTTTTGGAGGGCCTACTTACTGCAGCCCTTCTCTCTCTCTCTCTTCCGCTCCAGAGCCCCACCTGGAGTTTCCCTCCTTTCTCTCACTGCTCCCCCTCCCCCCTTAGGAAAAAGATTTAATGGGGCCATGCTCTCTACACTAGCAAGATAAAGCTAGTGAGAAGTAACTTTGTCTTCCTCCTGTTTATCTATTGTACCTAGAAACCAGGTACAAAAACAGTCTATGCATATTTTATTGACCTCAGCATTTAAATCCTAACTTAATCATGGGAGGTCAAGGGGTTTGAATCAAATTGCTTAAAAAATATTGCTAATTTTTTTTCTCTAATATAGCATGGTTATTTTTTAACAGTGATTCTAGTAAGTTTAATATTACATGGACACTTAAAGTGTTGGCAAGTCTGAAATTTAATCAGTCTCTTTTCTCATCTATTTAGAAAGTCAATGAGTGGTTAAGATACTAGTCAAGAATGTGGGAGCCTTAGGTTCAAGTCCGTGGTCTGCCACAGACTTCCTGTGTACTGTTGGCAAGTCACTTAAGCTCCCTGTGCCTCAGTTCTCCATCTGTAAAATGGGAATAATAGAACAGTTCTATCTCAAAGAGGTGTGGTGATGATAAATATATTAAAGATAGTCAGGTACTCAGATACTATGGTGATGGGAGCCATACAAGTACCATAGAAAACATTGTTGTGGTTCAGGGCAACTGTATCTGTGGTCCACCAAGGGCATCCGCTCTAGGCTCCCGGCTTCTCAGCCATCACCTCTCTTGGTAGAGACCTGTGTCTCTTTCCCTACTGACCAGGGTTTTTCCAGGCTGTACAATTCCCTGCCTGCAGTAGATATTCCCAACAAGTCACACAGCGCTTTGCTTTCTCGCCGGAGGCTATGAACAGCATAATGGTGTGCAGTTCTAAGTCACCACACAACTCTTCATAACCAAGCATATTCATTCTTAAGATGAAAGGATTACAGAGAAAACATTAAAAACAATAAAAGAACCTACCCACTTGTTAAAAAGCTTTCCAAAGATCACTTCAGCTCCAACCTTGGTCTCTGGTAGGTGTCAATCCTTCAACTCCCACAACTGAGTTTTCCCCATGGTTCCAGCCTTCCACGGTGGCGGTGCAAGCTCCAGAGAGAAGCTCTCCTCCTTCTGTGTTTTTGTTTTGGGTTTGTTTGTTTGTTTGTTTGTTTTAACCTCTCCCTCTAGTCAGGGGTGGCTCTAGCTTTTTTGCCGCCCCAAGCACAGCAGTCAGGCTGCCTTTGGCAGCATGCCTGCGGGAGGGCCCCGGTCCCGCGGATTCGGCGGCTTGCCTACGGGAGGTCCGCGGGTACGCCGAATCCGCGGGACTGGCGGACCTCCCGCAGGCAAGCCGCCGAAGGCTGCCTGACTGCCACCATCGCAGGGACCGGCAGGGCGCCCCCCGTGGCTTGCTGCCCCAGGCACGCGCTTGGAGCGCTGGTGCCTGGAGCCGCCGCTGCCTCTAGTGATCTGTGCTTCTACATGGGTACAACTTGCATTGGAGTTAGTGCCACCCATTTATTCACCACAGGTTATCACTAGTTATTTCTCTTTTCTGCTCCCACTCATTTGGGCTGAAGATTTCATTTCCTCTTTGGCCCAGACACCTCCTACATCCCCACTTGGCGTTGATTCTCTCTGCTCTTGGGCAGAGTTGGCCTGAAGAATACCATTGTAAATATTATTAGAAATTACCTGAACATTGTCCTTTTCAATTTTGTATTTTAAAGCTTTGTCATTTCTTTTTGTTTTTAAGGAAAGGAAGGAGGGAGTAGTAGGGTTTGTTTGTTTGTTTTTGTTTGCTTTTTGGTCTGCTTCTCGATTATCCAAGTGTCAGTCCAAGTGTGAGGTGGATGTTTGTGTGTATACACAGTGCACGTTTCTGTTTTCCCTCACAAACGGCCAATGGTTTTCAAAAGATTTGCTATTCTCAGATCTTTTTTCTTTGAAATGTATAGTGGCCTTCTAACGTTAATTTGCATTTGTTATTTACAGCTGCAAGAATCCAACACTGATCGGCAACTTATCGAGACTTCCCCAGTCCTCCAGAAACTTACAGAGTTTGAAGAAGCAATTGGAGTCATTTTTACTCATGTTCGGCTTCTGGCACGGGCCTTCACTTTGAGAACTGTGGGATTTAACCACCTGACTCTGTGAGTATAAAGCAGAATCCTATGCTTAACTATGCTAATCTTACTGCTGATTTCCTTAATGGTCCATATTTATAATAAGAAACAACTATGTATGTTTAATGAAAGTCATGATCTAATGACAAGTGCAACTTGAGGTCATCAGAGAGCCTGGAATTGCTGCAACAGAGCATGACATTTTGCTGCATGTTAGCTGCCCCATTTTAACATCACCTTGTAACAGTATGGATTGGATTACCAGAGGAAGCATTCGTGAGAGATATGTTCATTTGAGGGGTTCATAAATGGCAAGAGGAAAGTCACAGTTCAAAGTGCTATATCAGTTCTTTATCCCTGATGCAGTAATGCAATATGTTCACATGGACTTGATGTGGGAAAAGTAAACCCATGCTTTTGGGAGCGAGGACTGTCTTTTTGTTCTGGGTTTGTACAGGCGTTAGCACAGTGAGGTATGGTCCATGTCTGAGGTTCCTAGGTGCATCCACAATATAAATAATAGAGTAATACCTGGTGACCCCAATCCCGAACCTAAAATAGATTTAGGCCCTGATCCTTTAAGTGGTCGTGTATGGGGAGACTGATCCATTGAAATCAATAGGCACAGCAGTTTATTTTCATGCAAAAAATTGCATTATTGGGACCTTATTCCTGATAAATTTAGCACCAACCTGTACCCCCCCCAGTTAGTCCCACATCTGTGGTCTAGTAATTTTGTTTAATGGTAACTACCTCATTTGCTTTCTCCAGGAAGTCAAGGTACAGCAATAAAGAATTGTTTTCATCACATCTAGTTAACACGAGAAAATTGTGTTAAACGTGTTTAAAAATGAACTACACTTGCTTTTAAATTACTATATTTTTTAATTTGCATGTTTTTTTCCCCCGGACTGCTTATTGATCTTGCCACATTGATGTTTTCATTTTTCAGAGGCCACAATCAGAGGATGGAATTCCTGGGTGACTCCATAATGCAATTGGTAGCCACTGAGTACTTATTCATACATTTCCCTGATCATCACGAAGGGCACTTAACGGTGAGAATGCCATCAGTCATGCGGTCCGAGAGAGCAAATGTGGGACAGAAACAAAAATTATAAGAGAAGCTAGTTAGTGACTTATTCTGTATTTGATTAATAACAGAAACTTCAGGCCCCCTGTTCTGAATAAAGCTTTGTTAATTCAAATATGTGAATCCTGCAATGGACAGGAAATCGACTTATGAAGCCAGTGCAATAATATTTCTTCCCTCTGTAAAATGAATCAGTAGTGGTTGTTATCACACTGATGACCACTGAGACCCAGGTAGTGCTTGTTTAACACAAGTGTTTGAAAGGGTGTTTGTTAGACAGACATCTCACATGAGTTTTTATTCATGTCTACTAGACTATTGAGTCAACTTTTTTTCCATTTTCTATGGTTGTCACTTTGAGATGATGTTGATTTCCTCCCAGACATTACAATTTATTTTACCCTGGTCAGTCCATTAGTCTCATTAGTTCTAACAATTTATTATTGATTCCCATAGTTTACCAGCATATCCTGCGTAGAAACCCAGGTTTTGGGCCTTTGAGCATCTTACAGCATTCTAAGTGCACTTTGGTAGGCAGTGTTTCAATAGATAGCCTTGCAGATTGGTAGAGTACTTGAATGTAGATGGTATCAGAGGGGTAGCCGTGTTAGTCTGAATCTGTAAAAAGCAACAGAGGGTCCTGTGGCACCTTTAAGACTAACAGAAGTATTGGGAGCATAAGCTTTCGTGGATAAGAACCTCACTTTTTGCATCTGAAGCTTATGCTCCCAATACTTCTGTTAATCTTAAAGGTGCCACAGGACCCTCTGTTGCTTGAATGTAGATGGTTATTTATGGCCTGATTATTTGTGAAGAAGAGAATTATACTGCAGAATTTTCTCAGACTCTCAAGCATTAATTGGAATACAAAATAAAAAAAGAACACTGCAAATTATCGGGACTGTCAAGTCTAAAATTTCCTGTTTAGCTAGAGGATTGGTTAGAGATTTCAGAGATGTTAAGATGAGTTTTCTCAGGCTTTAATGGAAGGGATGAAGATGCTGAATCTTTAACAAAGATTTTTTTTTATATGTTTCTTAGGCATTTGAGTTACAGATGTTTACAGAAATAACCCCTCCCCCCAAAGTAAACAGTCTAAATAAAAATCACTTTTATTAATTTATCAAGTTTCATGTAAAATATATGTCATCCATACATTCATCCAAGAAATTCAGACTTTAATAAGGCCTGAGTTTCTAATGTAAAAAATATTAAACAGAAAAAATAGCTTTTCAGGCCAGTTTTAGTCATCAAAAAGGAATTTTTTAAAAAGGTGTGGGGAAGGGCACAAACACCATCTTTTTTCCTTTGCAGGTCACCTTTAAAAATGTAGGCACCAGTGCAAATATAGTATGATCAATCTCTCAAGAACTGTTTGGCAGGAAGGGTATAGAGCAGTGGTTCTCAACCTATTGACCATTGTGGGCTGCATATGCAGCTCTCTGTGTGTTATGTGGGCCACATCCACATAATATACATACTGCCTGTATGGCCCTGAGGCTGTCACACGGGCCGCAGCTGTGTGCAGATTGGGCCGCAAGCGGCCCGCAGGCTGCGAGTTGAGAACCGCTGGTATGGAGTGTTACTGTATAATTAATGGCTTTAAATCATCAGGACAATGAGCAGCATAGCTTAGTGTTGTTTAATTTAGTCATAAGTGACTTGGAAAGTGGAACTAGTTACATGTTGTCCAAGTTTGTAGATGAAGATACAAAGCTAGGACATGAATAATTGAGATAATTGTCTTTTCATCGATTTAAATTTGAATGAGATTTGAGAGGTAGTTGGAGTGGTGGTGAGTAACTTGGGGTATGTCTACACTACGGGATTAATCCGAATTTAGATAATTCGAATTTGGGAAACAGGTTGTATAAATTCGATTGTGCGCGGCCACACTAAGCACATTAATTCGGTTTTTAACCACATTAATTCGGTGGTGTGCGGCCACACTACCCCATTAATTTAACCACATTAATTCGGTGGTGTGCGGCCACACTAACCCTAATTCGAATTAACAAAATCGATTTTGGCGCTACTCCGCTCGTCGAGGTGGAGTACAGAAATCGATTTTAAGTGCCCTTTAATTCGAATTAACTGGCTCTGTAGGCCTGGTCTACACTACGGGATTAATTCGGATTTAGCAGCGTTAATCCGAATTAACCCTTCACCCGTCCACACTACAGAGCCAGTTAATTCGAATTAAAGGGCCCTTTAAATCGATTTCTGTACTCCACCTCGACGAACGGAGTAGAGCCTAAATCGATTTTGTTAATTCGAATTAGGGTTAGTGTGGCCGCACACCACCGAATTACTGTGTTTAAGTTAATGGGGTAGTGTGGCCGCACACCACCGAATTAATGTGGTTAAAAACCGAATTAAGGTGCTTAGTGTGGCCGCGCACAATCGAATTTATACAACCTGTTTCCCAAATTCGAATTATCTAAATTCGGATTAATCCTGTAGTGTAGACATACCCGTAGTGTGGACGGGTGAAGGGTTAATTCGGATTAACGCTGCTAAATCCGAATTAAAGTCGTAGTGTAGACCAGGCCTTGGAGAGAACCAGTGAACATTGGGCTATCTATCTATATTTGTCTCTGTCTGTCTGTCTATCCTCATTTAGGAACACATTTCCATTTAAAGTAATTATGGTGTATTAACATACTGCTATATCTGGAGATTGTGCACAGCATTGGTCACGGAAGTCAAGGTAATGGTAAACGTTCAGATGAGGGCAGCAAAACTGATTCTCAGTGTGAAGTGGTTGTTTATGAAGAAGTTAGTCATATATATCTTGAGAGAAGAAATTTTATGAACAATTTCCAGATAGCTAATGGGGACAAGGTATGTTCTACCAAGGATATAAATGTGTAACTGAAGTTTCAGAAAGAATGGTTTAAGTTGGAAATTTGGAAAGGTTTCTTGTCCACAACAGTTCTACCTGCCAGTACCTGTGTGTAATATGCTGGATGAATGCAGACGTGTCAGACAAAGTTAGCTATATATCTGGAATTAACTCCAGCTGAGTGTAGTTGCTGAAGTGTAGGAGACACCTTCCATAATAGAGTAGATTGGGTTCTCAGCCTGGAAGTCGCGATGGGTGGGGTTTGGGGTGTTGCAATGACTCTGTTGTTCCCATATTACTAAAGTGTATCAGGGTCCTCATTAGATTCTGGCTACATGGGAGGTGGGTCCTTGTATGGAAAAGTGGACTAGATGGACCACTGGTTCTTTTCATCTTCAAGATACATGTATTGTATATATTATTAGTCTTTATTATTTGCATTACCATAGCTCCTAGGCTCCCCATTCATGGACCAGGACTCCATTGTGCTAGGCACTGTACAAACACAGAATAAGATGATCCCTGCCCTAAAAAGCTTACATGTCATGGCTGCTCAGCACTCTGGTCTCATCGGTTTTGTGTTGTAGTTAGGTAAGATTTTGTTTTGTTTTGGCACTTGGGTGACTGTTGAAAGCGGATGAGTAGGTGGAAAGGCATGGAGAGTTAGGAAGGGAGGGAGTAATATGCTGATCTTGCAGTCAGCCTAGTTGTGATCAAGTTGTGAGTGTCTGCTTCATACATCATTGCCAAAAAAAAATCATGACCATACTGTTCTTTATTTATCTATTGTCAGAGATGAAATATCAAGTGCTGAGAATAAATCTTGATTTTCATAAGCTCAGTTGACACACTGGACCCAGGTAGCATAAAACTTTTGTCTACTAAGCTGAGCAAATGTGACATGGAACTCAAAAGGGAGCAATGTGTGCATATGCAATCTCTCCACCCTGGGTGGCTTGGATTGTTTGTTTCTTTCTTTCTTTTTGTTTAAGAAAGTGACTCTCTTTACACATAGACTTTAAGGTCAGAAGAGATCATTGTGATCATCTAGTCTGACCTCCTGCACATTGCAGGCCACAGAACCTCACCCACCCACTCCTGTAATAGACCCTAACCTTTGGCTGAGTTAATGAAGTCCTCCAAGAAAAAGGCTCAAGCTCTTTTTAATCACACTTTTCCATCTTGAAACTCCTTAACTTCAATAATCAGGAGATACTCAAGCTGAATGAAAACCCCAAACCACGTTTAAGATGTCTGTAAAGCTTTTATGTAACCATGTTTTCTGCAGAGCTCCATACTTACCATGTCTACATTACCACTATAACCAAACCAGGAGACTCAGTTAAAATACAGTTGTCTCCTCAATTAGTTACAAACCAGTGGCCATGTACTATAACAATCAGAGCCAGATCCCTCAGCTGACATAAATCAGCTTGGCTCCACTGACTTCAAAGCTATGCTTTATACCAACTGGATATCTGGCCAGGAATGTCCATCTCTTATCCTTCCTTTCCCTCGCACCCCTAATGTAATGGAATAATGAACCAGGTTTGCTAGTTGTGTAGTAGTCTTCCTTGCTTTAACATAGAGAGCATCTTTGTTTTTAATCCTGGGTACAAATATTCTTACACTTTGGATGTACTGTGTGTGTATGGATTTCAGGATATTGTGCTTTTTTGTCTATATTTCCTGTGGTAAAACATGTTTAGATTTTGTTAGAATATATACTTCCAGCAAAATCAATACAAGAAATAGAGTGATGGGGAGAAGGCATTTGTTTTTAAAGAGGAACACCACCAATTTTTTTTAATGTAATGCAGGATTATGGGAACTGCACCTTCTTTCTAAGCAGGAGGCTCTCTTAAAATCCTCCATCAGCATGACTGTGCACTTCTTCCTGCACTGCTATGTCATCTGGGCACCAGCAGCACAATAAAACTGACTAATGCACACAGTCCTAGTCAGTTTCATGCTGCTGCTCCTACCAGTGGTACTGGAGCACCGTACTTACCTATTTTTAGTTGTTTCTGGTAACACCCATGAAGCCAGCCCTGTAATATCTCGGCTTCCAAGTCATCCTCTTCCTTACCGTCAGCTGGAATGGAACAAGGGAGACAGACAGTAGAAAGAAGGGACAATGAAACAAAAGTTGGATCAGAAACAAAAGGAGATTCTCCAGTGATAGGCTGGGTGTAAAATCACCAGCAGAAATCAGAATGTGCTGAGAAGAGAAATGCAGTAAATTCATGGGGAAAAGGACCTAACGAGCTGCTTTACTCTTATAGTTTAACATTACCTAATGTTAAAACTGGGTGGAACTCTATGTGGTTTCAGTTGTTGCGAAGCTCATTGGTGAACAACAGGACACAGGCCAAAGTAGCAGAAGAGCTGGGTATGCAGGAATTTGCCATCACTAACGACAAGACCAAGAGACCCGTGGCTCTTCGGACTAAGACTTTGGCTGATCTCTTGGAGTGTGAGTGCCAATATGGATCTTAATCAGACTGTTAACAGAATACTTAAATACTTAATTACTTAATTAAATATTTAATACTTAAAAACTGAAAGCATGTGGAAAAAATAGGGGAAGCTTCTTTGTGAATACCGGTACGTTGAATAAGTATATGAGACAGTATGGAGATAAAGGCCCTCATTCTACCAGGTATTTAAACAGCCCGTTTTCCCCCAGGACTTGTTTAATAATTCCATTTAAAAAGTAGTAATATTTTAAAATATATGTTTTAACTCTGGTTTTTGGTTGGATGTTGCTATTTTCAGGTTGATACTTCTTCAAGTGATGGTCATTACGTGTATTCCACACATGGGTACACATGCATGCTATGCACCCAACTCTAGAAATTCTTCAAAGCAGTGTCTCTTGGCCCGCACATGCACAGTAACTCTCCTTGTGCTCCCGACCGAGGGTATAATAGGCAGTGCGAGTTGATGCATCTCCAGTTGCTTCTTACCGCTGCATGGCCTGAGTCAGAATTGTGTCTTCCTTCATGTCATTTCATTACCTATCAAGAAAACATTTGTAAATAGTTATATTTTTAGATTAGTAGTTAAGAATTTTATAGTATAGTGTATTTCTCCCCGGTTCTGGAGCCAGGTTCCTCCCTGGCTCCAGAACTATGCCCAGAGTCCCAGAATTCAAGAATTGTGTCTCCTGCCCTTGATCCATCTCCATCAGTGAAGATTATCAACACTTCTTGTACTGTCTGGGTGAGGCGCATATCTCTGCAAAGTGCAGTATATGTTGCTCCTTCCCACCCAGAACTCAAGAAGCCCGGGAGCTTCACCTGCAGAAGCACCTGATAGAGAAGACTATGAGGCACCTTTCCAATCTGGGCCAGGGAGACCCCCCAAACATTGGCATTAACTGCCTAGCAGCACCTGTCCAAGCACATGCCTTAGTGTGTAGCCTTCAACATGTAAGCCCAAGGATTCTTCTTTCAGGGTTCCCCATGAGAGTAAAGGGCACTATCATTGACGCAAAAACATATCCCCATTGAGGACAGTCCATAAGAAATGAGCTTCCTCCCCAAACCAGTCCAGGTCAGGTGAGACATCACAAATGAAACCTAATGAACTGGCTTCATGAAGACCCCCAGATCAGAGGGCAAGATGCATAAAAAGAAAGATCCGCCAGTTCCGTGGGTCATTTCAGTACCATTGTGCAAAGATAGACATTGACCGATTCCATCTATGAGTGCTGGTCCAGCCCCGTTGTTGGTAATGCTTCTTCCGTCTAAAGACCATACAGCTGCTGCAGATGCACTGGATCTATGGGAACTCCTCGGACACCAGGGCGTACAGAGACTTGTATAACACCAGAGGAAATATGTCCTTACTTTGGGGGAGGAGTCTACATCAGTGTCCCGGGAACCATTTCACATCCAACCATCTGGCAGGACTACCCTGGTACCGATGGCACTGCCACTACCTATTGAGCAGTTCTCTGATTCAGAGAAATCAGAGAAGATGGCCCCATTGGTATCTCCTTAGAGACAGTTGAGCCCAATAGGCAGTCGAGAGGTTACACCCACCATTCCACTTGGTACAACCTCCCTCGCCCTGGGACCGCTGTTACCAATTTCCTTAGGGTCCCCCACAACCTATTGATCCCTCTTTCTGGCCTTATTGTTGTTCGTGGGATATATATGGCAGGTTTCTGAGCCCCTCTCAAGAGTAATGTCGCTCCTCTCTCTCTTGCCAGCTGGTTTGTTCGTGTACGAGGAGGAAGAGGTGGAACCAGAGCGGCAGGTACCAACATTCCGTTGGTTGCCTTTTCATCAGCTCCAGATGAAGTGGTTGCTCCTTCCTCACCTTCTCTGCCGAATGACCCTTGCCAGTAGCAGGAGCTGTGACAAAAAACGTCCAGTGAGCTACAGATCCTATTAAAGGAGACCCAGAACCTTCAACACTGGCTCCTGGACATCATACAGTCTTAGGGACTGAGTAAGGTGGCCATACCCATCATACTAGAACCAGCTAGGGTGGTATGGAACATGCCAGCATCCTATGCCTTTTACACTGAAAAGGGCCAAGAGATGGTATTTTGTTCCTGCTAACTACCAAGCGTTGTTACAAAATACTATTTTAATACCTATTCCAGGCATCCAGACAAGGGTCCCACAGAAGATAGGGTCCAATTTCAGTCTCTATTCAATAAGGGGTGGCAAAAGTAGCCCTCCAGTCTGCAGTGGATGTGGCTGACACAGCTTCCAGAAGTTTGGCCACTGGTCTAGTTATAAGAAGGGATTCCTGGCTACAATCATGAGGGTTTCCTAGGGAGGTCCAGGACCTCCCTTCTGACAAATCGAAGGGATTGAGAAAATGGATGAGTCCCTGAACTCACTAAAAGATTTGAGATAACTCTGCATTCCCTGGGGATTTATACCCTGACCTCCAGAAGGAAACATCGGAGGCAGCCCTATAGAATTAGGCCACCCCCTTCTCATGCACATTATTACCAGCGCACAGCTGAACCACCATGCCAACACCAGAAGATTCAGAGACCTTGCTTCTCAGCCCCTTCTACTGCCACAGCCTCTAATCACTCTGTCACCAGCCAGGAGCCACTTTTGACGTATTGGTCAGGACCCACGTATCACCACTGATGCCAATCACCATGTCCCCGTCATCTTTGGGAGTCGTCTCACACTTTGCCCACAACTGGAACAAGATCACTGTGGACAGTTGTGTTCTGGAGATTATCCATAGAGTCTGGAGAAATGCCATAGAGTTTCTTTCCTTCCTACCTCACACATCCCCTTCCTGGTCCCCCTACAGGGATCATTCTCACAAGGTGATTCTTCAGTGGGAAGCAGCTTCCCTCACTGAAGGGCAATAGATCATGTTCCACCTCATTACCATGGGAGAAAGCTTTATTCCCCATATTTCTTAATTCCCAAAAAAGACAGAGGGTGGAGACCCATCCTGGACCTTCAGCAACTCAACATCTTTATTTGAAAGCGGAAGTTCCAGACAATTAGGCTGGCATCTATAATCCCCTCCCTTTAGGAAGGGATATGTTTCGTGGCTCTCGACATGAAGGATGCGTGTTTCCATGTGGACATTCACCCATCACACAGGAAGTTCCTGCATTTTATGGTAGGCCAGGAGCACTTCCATTTTTGAGTCCTCCCCTTTGGGCTGACTATGGCACCCAGAGTATTTACAAAGGTTTTCCTTGTGGTGGTAGCCCAGATGAGATGCCAAGAATATATAGTATCTCCATCCCTGGACAATTGGCTCCTGGTCTGATCTTGTCAGAACATCGAGTCATCATCACAGTGTTTCATACAACTCTGAACAACCTTAAGTATGTGCATAAATGAAGAAAAGTCTGTTCTGTTACCCACAAGGTCAATAAACTTTATAGGGGCAAAGCTGGACTTGGATTTCGCAAGATTGTTTCTCCCCTCAGAAAGGTTTCATGCACTGAGCACCCTGATTTCACATAACCTACAATCCATGAATCACAGTGCACAAGTGCCTCTCACCATTGGGCCACATGGCTGCATGCACCTACATGACTCCTTTCACCAGACTCCACTTACAGTGCCTGCCGGCTCGGCTCCACTCAATTTGTCAGCCAAGCAAGGACCACATCAGCTCCTGGTCGTTCTTACCAGAGTTGTCATCTGACTTGGTGGTTGAACCCGGGAAAAGTCATGGTGGAAGTTCCCTTCAGCCCTCCCACTCCCAGGACCACCACTGTGATGGTTGCCTCCCTTTTCGGGTGGGCTGCTCATCTGGAGAAGCACACTGCTCAGGGTGTGGGGTACAAGAGGCCAGACTACATACTGAAACTGAGGGAGTGTAAGGCCTTTCTTCTGCATATGCACTCACTCCATATTCAGATAATGTTGGACAATATCACCACTATTTAAACAAACAAGGAGGAACAAGATCTCATCCACTCGGCCAGGAAGCCATCAGGCTTTGGAACCGGTGTATCAGGAACTGCATCACAAAACAGGCCTCGTGCCTTCCTGGAATTCACAACTCCCTGGCAGACAGATTACACAGGAGCTTCTTGATAGACCATGAGTGGGAGATTCACGACACAGTTCTGAGCGAGATATTTACACAGTGGGTAACTCTGCTATGCAACTTCTTCGCATCCCAAACAAACAGAAAGCTCCCCCCATATTGCTCCAGGGGAGCCATGGATTGCGATTCCCAAAGCAATACTCTGCTGATGTCTTGGAGAAATGGCCTCTGATATGCCTTTCCTCCCAGTTCCCTGCTTCCACAGGTCGTAGGGAAGATAAGTCTCGATGGCGCCAACATCATTCTCCTAGCACCTCATTGGCCCAGACAGTTCTGATTCATGGAAGTTCTAACAATCTGCCTGCCCACCAATCAGAATTCGCCTATTCTCAGATCTCCTAACCCACGGCAGGTGGAAGACCAAGGATCCCAATCCAGGCACGCTGCATCTCATTGCCTTGTTTTTGGATGGGCGTCGAAAATAGAATGCTCATGTTCAGCTCCCATTCAGGTGATCCTTTCAGCCTGCGCACAACTGCACTCACATTCTCCAGATATTTTAACCATTCCAGTTGTTCTAGACTATCTCCTATCCCTGAAGACTTCAGATCTCTCTGTTAGTTTGTTACAAGTACACCTAGCAGCGATATTGGTCCCTTCCTCCCTCCAGTGGAAGGACGATCTCTCTTTATTAACCCAGCTACAGTATGAGTCATGAAAGGCCTGATCAGGACCTTCCCATCAGTCCTTAGACCTAAGGTGACTTGTACCATGGCCCACCTGCCCATGAAAGTGGCATTCTTAGTAGCTATCGTGTCAGCTAGGTGGATTGGCGAGCTTGGACCCTTCATGGTGGAATCTCCTTATACTGTGTTTCACAAAGAAAAGGTTTCTCTTCGACTGCACCCAAAGTTTCACCCCAAGATTGTTTTTGAGTTCCACATCAATCAAATAATACTTACCTGTATTTTTCCCCAAACCCCATGCTTCCTCTGAACACAGGAGACTTCACTCTCTCAATGTCCAACGTGCCCTGGTGTTCTGCCTGCAAAGAACCAAACCTACTAGGAAATCACCTAGACTCTTTTATCACCATAGCACAGAAGTCCCATGGGCAAGCCAGTTTCCTCCCAGAGGATTTCTAAGTGGGTCTCGGGATGCATCTTAGAGTGCTACAAGATAGTAAATATTCCTCCCCCTGGAGGGGGGAGCACAGGATACCTCCATGGTATCCCTATCAGACATTCTGCTGCAGGACATCTGTAGAACAGTCACCTGGATTTCGATCCACACGTTTGAGACACATTATGATCTAGTCCATGCCTTGGCTGCAGATGCAGTGGTGGGATTGGCGGGATTGCAAGCATCTTTGCTACCAGCCTCCTCACACCCATCTCCAGTCTAAACGCTGCTAGCCAGTCATCCATGTGTGGAATACACATAGGGACCATCACTCAAAGAAGCAATGGAAGTTACTTACTGTAACTAGACATTCTTTGAGATGTGTGGTCCCTATCTGTATTCTACTCTCACCCTCTATCCCCTCTGCTTAGGATCCTGTTGGATTTGTGGTAAGAAGAGGAATTGGAGAGGTGTTGACCCACACTACCTATTATACCCTTGCTAGGGTGCACTGCTTTGAAGAATTTCCAGACTCAGGCGTATGGCATGTATGCATACCACATGTGGATTACAGATAGGGACCACGCATCTTGAAGAACCTCCAGCTACAGTAAGTAATTTCCACTTTCAAGGGCCAGATATTCAAATACTAGCCTCCCTTTTTGCATCCCCTACAAGCAGACACAAAGAAGGTGATTTAGATGCCTAAGTATCCAATTTGCAGGTACAATCAAGTACTTATTTGTTTACATGACCTGAGTTGTATCCCCCAAAGAACTGCAGGTGCAAAATTGTAGGCTCAGAAATGGAGGGTTAGTTTAGGTGACATCAAAAATTTGTCCCTAAGAGTAAAGATTTATTGGCATTTGAGTCAGGAGGACAGGAGTTCTGACAAATCAGAGGTGGTGACTCTGACATGCTCTCATTATTAGAGAAAGAGAGGAAAAAGTGATCCAGAATGTAGGGGTACTCCGTGCTTCACTGAATTTCAATAGGAGGTTTCAAAATAGCATTTCCACAAAGAGTACAGAGACACACAGAGCAAGCCCCTCAATCCATTTATGAAAGTGCGGTTCTCCTTCCAAGGCAGGTGAAATGGTAATAAATATTGTGCCAAGAAAGTTAATCTGTATCCAGTGCATTTTAATACATTGTGTGAGAAGTTTAGATCTGTTGTCTCTTGCCAAATCCTTTTAGTAAATGGAAACTATTCATAAACAACAGTGATTTATACCTAAGCATTTATAGTGTACCCAATAGTGATTTATTTCTAAGTCCTGGTCTGCTGGTTAAATCACAGGATTAGGAGCCAGATTCTGTTCCTGGCTCTATAAATGACTGTGTGTGTGAACGTGGGCAAGTTGCTTAACCTCTTGCTGACTCAGTTTCCTCCCCTGTAAAGCAGTGATGACAATAATACCCACATCATGGCAGTGTTGTGAAGCTTAGTTCGTTGATGATTTTAAAGTGCTCTAAATTACTCTAATAGTGCTATAAGAGTGCAAAGCACTACACTCCTCTTGCGTGGGTGGTAATACCTAAATATTTTGTTTCTCAGCTTTTATTGCTGCGCTTTACATTGATAAGGATTTGGAGTATGTTCACACTTTCATGAACGTGTGCTTTTTTCCGCGATTAAAGGTAAGGTCAGTTTGCTTCATATTTTCATATATCATTGTGATTTGAGCAGTTACTGCAAACTCTCAAACCATCTTTGTGGATTTATTATAGGAATTCATTTTAAATCAGGATTGGAATGACCCTAAATCCCAGCTTCAGCAATGCTGCCTGACTCTCAGGACGGAAGGAAAAGAGCCAGATATTCCTCTCTACAAGTAAGGACCCCTGTATCACTTATACAAACTAATTATCAGTCTTTGTTTTACCCAATACAAGATGTGATCAGACTCTGAACATCTTTCTTCTATCTTGTCTTTATTTTAAGACTCCATTTGATCATGACTAGGTTTAAAATTGTTCTGTCTGTTGTTTAAAGAAATAATTCAGTCTGCTTCCAAACCAAAGATATTAAAAACAGTCTGGTTTTGTTTGGGAGTAGAAATTGTTGAGCCAACTTTTTGAGATCTGTATGTTTTAATCACTGCAGAGTTAAATTATTAAGAACTCTGCCTTTTCATTACATAAAGCCCCAGTGAATATTTTTTTCAGGGCTTACAGGGAGTTTTTAAATGAGTTATTCCTTAAAAGATGAAATTGTTAAAAACAAAAGAAATATTCAGAATGCTCAAGTACAATGAGTGCGCTGAGGAAGATTGTCATTTAGATGTAGCCATTGACTGTGAGTCAAGAACCTGAGCTTTGTTCCCAGCAGTACCATGAACTTTGTGTGACCTTTCTGTCTCAGTTTCCCCAGCTGTAAAATAGGATTATGCCTACCTCATAGAGATGATATCAAATGTTGTATTTTGTAAAGCACTTTCACATCCAAACAAGTACTACACTGATGGGTGTGTAAGTAGCTGAAAAAAGGAGAAAAGAAAATGCTATCAAAGTGCCAGGCCTTTATTATCAGTATTTATTATATCCAGAATGTGTATAGAATTAAAACCCATATTTCTCACGTTTACTGAAGTAAAGTTTCATATGCAGTGCAGTGGGTTACAGTGAAAATTGGTGTACTTCAGAAATATGATTGCAAAATGATACTTTGCAGATCTGATTTCCCAGGTCTTTATCTGCGAGCTTACTCCCTTATCTTGAGGGAGATAGATACAAAAGAAATGAATTTCTGTTTCTTGTCAAACCCACTGAGTATAAGTACAGTATGTTTGTGCTGGTTTTTTTATGATAAATTGATTTTGATAGTACAGCTCAGTGTCAGTCTACATTTGCTGTTATCTTCCTATTATCTTGTTTAATTTTCTTCCCATGGAGTTATTTGTTTCACTGCATTTACAGCCAGTAGTTTTGCTTTTAAAATCTAGGGTGTATTTTGTTTGTATGTATGTTCGGTGTTACACGGTTCATTAGATGCAGAGTAGTTTGGTTAGATATTTCAAAAATTGATATGAACTTTTGCTGCTCCTTCTGTTGAGAAACAAGGTAGTGGACAGAACTCATCTTGGCAGTGGGGCGAGTTGGAGCAGAGGGAAGAGATAAAAGGAAAAGCAAATTCATTGTGTGTCTAGGGAATTATGTCTTTCTCCTTGAGACGATTGCTAATGCATAGCCTAGATTCTCACTCAAATGGAAAGGTGGTCTGATAAGTGACAGAAACGATAACTTTTCTGATGGAACAATGTATTTATTCTGTGAATTTGTCATGTAGAGGAGCAGCATATCAAATATCAACACTCCTTTAAACCTTGGCCCAGTTTATGGGCCAAAATTTCAATGCACATGGGCTGTCTTGTCTGATTAAAAGTGTGTGTCCAATTGTATAACTACATTTGTTCATGCAATTAAAAATGGATCCACAGAGTTGCAGCAATTGGATGAGCATGTAAGCATTTTTGACTACAGGTCATACATTTACATTTTTAATTGGGCCTATGTGTAAGCCCAGGAGTGTTAAATAAAGCTAGTTTTAGACCAAGACTAATTTTATGTACATACTTCGCTTTAATAAACACAGTTTTGACATCTTTTGGTTGAAGTAACATATACAGCCAGCAGTCTACCCTCTGACATTGTGCCTTGTGCTAATCTTGCTAAATGGACTGAAAGTTTGGTGAGATATATGCCATTGATAGATTATTGTTTCATACTTTCTGCTTGAACAAATTATGTCTTTCTTATCTCAGGACCCTGCAGACAGTGGGACCTTCTCATGCCAGGACATATACAGTCGCTGTTTATTTCAAAGGGGAAAGAATAGGATGTGGTAAAGGCCCAAGGTACAGTGGAAATGTATGAAATGGTTTTAAAAAGCAAATTTGATTGTGAAAGCCTCTGAAATGACAGCACAGGAGACTAATATTTGCTGATTAGTCACAGAAAAGGTAAAGCAACATGAGCAACAGCTGTGCAGCCTTCCTCACACTACTCTGCCTCTGTGCCTCAACCTTACTTTAATGGGTCCATATCCTAGTGGCTGGAGGTAGTTCAGTCTCCATGTCCATTTGGTCCTTAGCCTCTCTGCTGAGGCGCCAAAGAAGCAGGTGTGTTTAGTGACATTTATACACTGAAACCACTAAATAGCTTCCAGATGACAGTGACTTTTGGTCACTGCTGACCATGGACAAATTTAAACTGGCAATTTAGGATCAGAGAGTCTCTCCACTTTTTACTGATCACCGCCAGCAATCCAGCCCTCATTATTTTTTTGGCATAGAAAAAAAAAGTTACACATTTTTGTAATGGTCTTAAACCTCTAAGATTATTAGAACAGAACCGTCAGTACATAATTTTCACTTTGTAGTACAGAGTCGAAATGTCATTCGATTTTTGCTGCTCACTCTTCTATCTGTATTCATTTTTTCTTTCTCTTAATTAAAACAACTGCTTCACTAATGAATTACAAAACAACCTTATTGATCTAATTTTTTTAAAAATATTCCATAGGAATTATGGCACTATTATGTGTATATTTGCGGAAAACTTGATTTATCCATTATGTTATGGGACTGACTGACCAATGATTATTTGAAGAGTTGATCACAACAGAGTAATATGAACCCCAGATTCTGGGAAACTTGTAGTTTACCCAGTAAAGCATAAACTTACCATATTTTTGTTTGGTTTTGACAGTATTCAACAAGCAGAGATGGGAGCTGCTATGGATGCGCTTGAAAAATGTAAGAGGTTTTCTTGGGAAATGGGAAAACTATTGTAATTTACTCAGCTGGGTTTTCATGGAGGGCAAGGTGGATGTTTTATGGGGGAGAACAATGGGCCAGAGAATGTACACAAAATGCTATCAGCTTCTGAACTTTAGGTTTGCTTATTAATAGTTTCCATAAAACTTTGTCAAAAGTCAAGTAGTACATATGACACACACAGGCATTTTCAAAGGGAAGTTTTCAGTAAATCACAGATGCAGCAGTTGTCCCTTATTGTACTGAGTTCCTTAATCACTCCAAGGTTCCCCTGCTTTAACGTGGAACAGAGTGGGGTAAGCTTTCTCTGTGGTACGGGGTGACTCCACCCTACACATTTTACAACCATTTGCTAGTAAGGTTGTCTACTGTGGTTAGGGGCATCCATCTTCTAGAATGTTTTCTGATAATGTGGACAGGATCGGTCAATTCAGTGTCAAAAGCCTAGATCCTCAGCTGTAGTGAAAGTTATTGCAGTTCCACTGAAGTCAGTGGAGCTAAAACAATGTACAGCAACTAAGGATCTTCCCCTGTGGTCTTGAACCAGGGGTCACCCAATGAAATTAATAGGCAGCAGGTTTAAAACAAACATAAGAAAGTACTTCTTCACACAATGCACAGTCAACCTGTGGAACTCTTTGTCAGTGGATGGTGTGAAGGCCAAAAGTATAAGTGGGTTGAAAAAAGAATTAGATAAGTTAATTGAGGATAGGTCTTGGCTATTCGCCAAGATGGTCAGGGATGCAGCCCCATGGTCTGTCTGCCAGAAGCTGGCACTGGATGAGGTGGGATGAATCACTCAATAATTGCTGTGTTCTGTTTGTTCCCTCTGAAGCATCTGGCATTGGCCACTGTTGGAAGACAGGTTACTGGGCTAGATCTTTGGTTTGATCTAGTATGGCCATTATGTTTTTATGTTCTTATTCTGCCATCTCCTCCAGGTGTTGCCCCCGACCCACCATCATCACCTCAAACTAGTCTAGATTGAGCTTAAACCAGATACCACTCATACGTGCACTGATATATTTCTAAATAAATATTTATATTTAATCTGGAAGGATTACATTTTTAATCAATAAAAGTCAGTAAATGTTGATTTCACCATACACACACTAACCAATGCAAAAATATTTTCATCAATGATAATCAATATTTATAGATAGGCAAAAGTAAGAAAAATGGTGCTTGAGAATTTATTATAGTCAAAATCCAGTGATTTCGACTTGAATTAGGCTTGTCACAAATGGACTAGCAAATGAATAGGAAAAACGGATCTGATTTGTATATTTTGCTGTGATGTTGACAATTTGCATTTTAATGATTTTGCTTTAATGTTTTAAATCTCAGCATCTGCTGTCATTAACTAATTGTCTCACCCTCTCATAATTTCCCGCAAATGTGAAAATTTAAATTTTCAAAAAAATTTAAAAATGCTTGAACATAACATCGATATTATCCATTGATATTATAAGAAAATGAACATTGAATTCTGCTATTTATATTTGTAGAATTGGGGATAGCTAAATTGTTGCTTTTTGAGAATGTCCTTTAATGCAGTTAGAAATGGTTAGAAATGGAGAAATAGTCTGAAGTAAATAGGATGAAATTCAGTTAAGGACAAATGCAAACACATACAAAATAGGAAATGACTACCTAGGAAGGAGTAAAGACGCTCCCCGGGTTACGCAAACCCGACTTACGGAAATCCGGACTTACGGAAAAAGTTCTGTAAGCTTTTTTTTTTCCTCATAATTGACGGAGATGCGTTCCCGACTTAAGCAAAATTCGACTTACGCAAAGCATTCAGGAACGGAACTCTTGCATAAGTCGGGGAGTTTCTGTACTGTGGAAAGAGATCTGGAGATCATAGTGGATCACAAGCTAAATATGAGTCAACAGTGTAACACTGTTGCAAAAAAGCAAACATCATTCTGAGATGTATTAGCAGGAGGGTTGTAAGCAAGACACGAGAAGTAATTCTTCTGCTGCACTCTGCGCTGATAAGGCCTCAATGGGAGTAATGAGTGCATATTTCAGGAAAGATGTGAACAAATTGGAGAAAGTCCAGAGAAGAGCAACAAAAATGATTAAAGGTCTAGAAAACATGATCTCTGAGGGAAGATTGATGAAACTGGGTTTCTTTAATCTGGAGAAGAGAAGACTGAGGGGGGACATAATAGCAGTTTTCAAGTACATAAAAGGTGGTTACAAGAAGGAGGGAGAAAAGTATTTCTCCTTAACCTCTGAGGATAGGACAAGAACCAATGGGCTTAAATTGCAGCAAGTGCGGGTTAAATTGGACATTAGGAAAAACTTCCTAACTGTCAGGGTGGTTAAACACTGGAATAAATTGCCTCCGGAGATTGTAGAAACTCCATCATTGGAGATATTTTAAGAGCAGGTTAGACAAATATCTGTCAGGGATGGTCTAGATAATACTTAGTCCTGCCTTGAGTACAGGGGACTGGACTAGAAGACCTCTTGAGGTCCCTTCCAGTCCTATGATTCTATGTTTATCTTAGAACTCAGCTATCATTTTCCTACTCAGAACACTGCCATTATGCTGGCTATCAAGCATGCTTTTGCATTATCTAAAATAAAAACAGTAATAATGTGAACATCTGTACAACACTCAGTACCAGTTGCTCTTACTTTGTCAGATATTTTAGTTGCTCTCATTCCACAGAGTGTTGATTGTATTCTCACTTCACTTTTTCAGTATTAACTACCTGTTGCCAGGGGAACAAAATGTAAAACCCAAGTATTACTTGGACATGTTACTATGTCAGCATTTTATAATCTCTATGTCTGAGAATCGGCCGGGCTCCGTAGCAAGAGAAACAAATGTTGAAATTATCTTTGAAACTAAGGTGGTCTGATCACGCTGGACCGCCAGTTTTGTACTGAGTGTTACGAATGAATGAGGCAAAATGATAACGGCGTGACTTTTTCTCCTCCATCTTATGAAAGAAAAATAAATAAATAAAAATTGAAGCATTCTCTGTGCTACCAGCTGCCCTTTATTAATATAAAATATTTCTCCTTGTGTCAGATAACTTTCCCCAGATGGCCCATCAGAAACGGTTCATTGAACGGAAATACAGACAAGAGTTGAAAGAAATGAGGTGGGAAAGAGAGCATCAAGAGAGAGAGCCAGAGGAGACTGAAGAAGTACGGAAATAAAAGGAGGGCACGGAAACAGTGCCATATTTACTTACTTAATAACTCGATGGCCTATGGAGACGTAACCTAGTTTCATGCAGGTGATGAATGAAGCATGCCTGCTGACAGCAAATACAAAATAATGCTCTTTCTTAAAAAAAAAAAAAAATAGTTTCTTTTATTCTGTTTTAGCTGCAAAGTCTTGGGGACTTTTCCTAAGATTTTTTTTACAAAAAGTCCTTTTAGCTTTTATGAAAAGTTGTGGAGGTGTTTTTTTGTTTTGTTTGTTTTTAATTTTGTCTTGTATGAAACAATAAAGTGCTAATTTCAGAATCTCACCAAGAAAAAAAGAATTGTTTAATTAGCGTCTCCTGTGTTTGAATGTTTCTGTTCCAGAGACCTGCAAACACTGTCACACTGACTCAATGCTGAAGAGGAAAAAGAAGTAGTTGTGGCCCTGGTTCAGCAGAAGACTTAAACTGGTGCTTAACTTTAAGTGTGTACATACAGTGAAGCTCGTGTTTCAGTGATTTGCTGAATTGGGACCTTAATAAGTTTTTGGTCCATCTTAAGTACAGTAAATCTATAGCAACTTTACCACAGGAATATTCGTTATTTACTCCTCAGGGACTTCTGTGCCAAAAAAATTAAAAACTCTGTGCACAATATTTTAAAATTCTGCGAAATTCTGCATATTTTATTTGTCAAAATAACACAATACAATCACACCAGTTTCAATTATTTTGGTAATTTATTTCAAAATGCCTGTCAGCAACTATATCTGTAACAATACAGACAACAAAAAAGATTCAGGAAATATTTTTTGACAAATAGATTCCTTACGAGGCATATTAATACAGAACTCTGAGTAATAATTCATTTAAACTACAATACAGCACCGTATTTCCCACACCCCTCAGAAGCAGTGCAAAGGCTTGTGGGAGTCAGGGGTAAATGGAGGAACTGAGGGAGAGAGAAGTAATTGCTGGGAAGGAGCCTGGGTGCGAACTTGGAGAATTCTTGAGTATGGATGGAAAAAGTGTGGAACAGGTTTTTCAGGAGGCAGGGAGGGATCGTTAGGGAGCTTCCCCCATGCAGACCCTGGCTGACCCCTAGCGTCTCCCATTCAATCAGGCACATCTGCCCCTGTCCCTATGTGTCCCTCCACCCCCACTCAGACACACATTTCCCTCATCACCATGTGGCCCTGCACCCCCTCCCTGTCCCCATGTGTCTCTGTGC